TCCAGTGAAATGCCAACCATGCCTGCAACGTGCCCTCGAAAGTTTCTTTTATTTTTGTCTAGTTGCTAGTCAGGTTCTGCAGCTGGGTTGGAAGGAGCCTGTTCTGCAGTGGAGACGATTGGCCTTGGAGGTTTCATAGGGTGACCCTAAGGATATTTTTGTCTCAAAGGTTCAACATGCTGTGTCTGTACTTACCGGACGCAAGTACACACTCCTCAGTTTGAACTGTTTCAGGTGTGAGGTTACAAGCAGGCTGAAGGAGAAAAGTCCACCAACCTCAATGGCTTCCTGTTAGGAGACCTTTGAGAGGCCTGTTTATATTTCCTCTTCCAGCTGGGTGCTGACTGGCACTGACCTATCTATTTCAGAGGTGTAAGGTCAAGGTGGCCCATTCCCCCTGACCCCTTATCATTGCTACTGAGGACCAATGGCTTGTGCAATGGAGTGCAGGTCTGGGTGCAACTTTAGCAGACCCTGAGGAAGCTGAACCTGGGTCTCCTGGCAGCCACCAGCCTCTCCCTAAAGGTAGCCAGATGATCAGATGCCTGAGGCAACTGGGCCCCCATAGTGCAGCCTTGAAGCCTCTGGGTTATAAGGGCCATTTCCTGCCATAGAAATACCTGGTGCTTCTCTGTCTGCTCATGCTGTGCACGTTCACTATGTCCCTGTATGCCAACACCACTAGGTCCTCTTCTGCCTGGGGTTGAGCAGGCGCTTTGTCTCCAGCAGTGCAAGTGCCTGTGACCTGCAGTGTTTCTTCCTCCACCTCCACAAGTCAGCAGAAGAGATGTGGCAGTGATTTGTTCAACCAGATGTGCTCCCAACTGTAACTTAGCAAAGCTTTCCACCAATGTGTTAGGTTTTGAGCTGCTGCTCCTGCTGCTGGAGTGGGGGGAAGCAGAGCCTCGCCTATGCTTCCTCTGAGGCTTCTGAACTTTCCTTCTCAGAGGTGCTGGACGGCATTCCTTGCACAGCAGCCCATTTGACCACTCAGTCAGTGGACATGTCACTTGACCTGCCGGACACAAAAGAGAGAAGGCATCACCGCCAAGGGTTATAATTGTATGCAATGAAAGACACTGACAGTGGGGCTAATGTAAGAACTGCACTGGAATGAAGAATGGTACTTACTCATTTGGCTGGGCATGGATGAGGAGTGTAGGAGAAGGTGGTAACATAGCAGTAACATCACTGGACTGATTCAGAACCTTAGGCCAATGTTCTGGGACATGGGCTCAAATTCTATCATGACAGATGGTGAAATTTGAATTAAATAAAGATCTGGAGTTACAAGCTGGTACAATAGCAACCATGCAACCACTGCTGATTGTTGTAAAAAGACATCTGGGTCACTAATTTCCTTTAGGGAAGAGCATTTTCCATCCTTATCTGGTCTGGCCTACATGTGATTCCAGAACCAAAGTAATGCAGTTGACTCTTAACTGCCGTCTGGGCAATTAGGGGTGGACAATAAATGCTGACTTAGTAGCTACACTTATGTCCCTTGGACAAATAAAATAAGGGATAACAGGTCACCTTGCCTCTTCACCGACCCAGTGACCAGAACACCTAGGTACCTGTCCGTAAAGTGGGTGCCAATTTATCCTAATCAGTCATGTCCAGTGAATACATATTGAACCATGCAGGGCTACTCCAGATTCCCAGCACTTGGAGTAGGTACGTAATGGCATTTTCAAGATGGCGTGGATGCCAGGAGTGTCCTTTTATTCTGGAATATTGGTAAGTGGCGAGCTCTTTTGGCTACAGTCAGTGGGTAGAACTGAGCTAGCCCCAAACTAAGGAGATATCTTATGGGCGTGGTAGGTAGTTAATGAGGTGGGTTTGGTGGGAAATCTCAGTAGGCCTCACAGAGAGAAAACCTCCATAAAACTCATCTAAATTAACAATTAAACAAAAAAAAGTTAGATTTAGCCTGCAATTACAAACAAACATAAATGAGTAGACAAGTTGCATAGTAGGCCCTAATGTTAACAAGAAGGTGGCATCTGAATGATGTTAAGTGTTTTGGGTGGGAGTGAGGAATAGAATTGTAGCTTTAAATCCTGGAAACCAAAACTTCTGGGCAGACTGAAGTCAGGATCAGTTTCTGTTTCTTTAGACATAGGAAGTGTCAGTTTCCTTTCTATATTTTCCTTTTCAATTCCTGCTTTCAGCGAGGTCATGCATTGTTTTAAGTTTCTCCACCTGCTGTTTTATAGCTCCATCTCCTCAAATCCAATATTTTAAGTATAATAACCTCCCAGCTTGTTTATATTGGCATTTAAACTATTTTCTACAGTTAAAACTTTAATTCTGAAAATTACCACAGGATGTTGTCGCTGCTATGGTCAGTGATGCTCTTTCTGTTTTGGTGTGCTGTCCAATATCTCGATCACATTACAATCACTGCTAAGCACTTTCTAGTATGAAAATGACATCCACCGTGAGGAGTGATCATTTTTAATTCAGATAGGACAATGGTAGATTTAACTACCTACCAGACCACAGCTCAGTCTCATTAATTTTAATTCTACAACTCATTCTTGGGAATTAGAACTCCTCCCACATCAAAACATGTTGAAAATATTTTTAGGTGAATAAAAGTCACTTGCACTTGGAGCTTCAGCAGGAATTTTTAAAAATAAAAATCATTATTATAGATTTATTTTTGATTGTACAAGTGGCCTGGTGTGTGTGAGTAGGGATAAGACTTTAATTCTTCACTATCATGCTAACCTGACTTTGATTTCCTGCAGTCTGTTATACAGATATATTCATGGTCTGTAATGATTCAGGGAGGTGCAAGGGCCTACCTTGCTCATTTGAATGAGGTTTTAGAATTCTAAGTAATTAAAATCTACAGATTTCAATCAAATGAAAACTCAAAGATACACACTGGTGATTCACATATTTTGACAACATTTATCTATGACCTTAAATACCTGCACCCACTATTGTGAAATGTTTACTTCCTACTTCACACTTTGCAATCACACTTTCATGATCGCACTTTTACCATCACACCTTGTAAACAGATTCAAAGCAAAATACCAGCAAATCTGAACTGAAATATAGAAACCAAATGTCAGACAATAAGTTAAAACAAACTATCAACAAATTTAGAGAGCAATAAGTTAAAGAATCAAGTTGGAATGAGCAATTAGAAAACCATATCAATAAACAGAAAATGTGTATCAATTAAACAACTGCAAATATTTTTCTGTCATTTTGCTCCCTGTAACTGAAGACTGGATCCATGATCCTCAACATCTGACCGAACCAGATGCAAACAGTGTATGTGCCACCTGCCCAAAGCTTTGTTCAGTAAGCCCAAACCACCCTCAGTTCATGCCCATATGACTGTTACTGGCAAAGTCTGAGCACCAAGTAAGCAATCTGCTGCACCTCGCTGGTTGGTGGTAAGACAGGAAATCAGCCAGCTCTCATGCTAAACTGGCAACCAAGATTGGTTTTGGAAATGGATTTTAACACCTGGCAATCACCCAATGTATCTGTGGACCCAAATAGAGCAGGTGTCCGTCTCTTGACTCTACAAAAGTAAATGTGCAATACTCCTAGCTGTTTTCTGAATGGCCTTCAGCAGTTCCTTTAAACCATTGATTAAGCCGAGAACAGATTACTAAGCCTGCTCTCCATTCATTTATATCTGAAAAGTTCCTTTGATGGTCTTTAGTCTGTGTAGCATACTGATTTGCATTATCAGTATCCCACCTGATTTATGCTCTAACATTACTGCGATGATACTACGTTTTAAGATGTGTATTCTGTCCTTTTTTATGAAGAAAGTTTAAAATGGAGGTAATGAGTGGTCTGCTTCAAGCCAATAGAGTAAACAGCTTGTGAGGCCTTGGGTTTTTTTTCTTTAAAGTTGGAACAATAGAAGCACCCTGAATGGGTGTAGTCAAGCTCCCATCGAACCAGAAATTTTTAGTTTAGTCAGTAGTAGCTGTTGGGGTTGTGAAAGCTGCTACATCTCTCTCTCTTGCTTTACTACAGCTAAAGCTTGGGCTCTCTTCCTGCTGCTAGAATTGCATGCAAGACAATTTATTCTACTGAATTTGCCTTTGCCAAGGGTGTGCTTAAGGGACGTTATTGTATTGGAATAGTTAATGAGTAGTTTTTTTATTTTGTTAAGTATTTTGATAGAGTTACAGTTCAGCTAATTCTTTTCTTTTGTTTTTATTTTGTCTGTACTTTAACAATAATATATGAATAAAATGTGTTTTGCTTCAAGCCTGATAGTTTGATGAATTGAATTGGATCTGCCACACAACGCGTGGCACTTGCCTTTACAATAAGAAAACGTTAGGGTCTACGCTATCTTCTTGACATGTTTTGAGGAGGTTTGGTCGAGTTTGTTCATCCACAAAGGCCTCTCGTAAATTTAAATGGATGGGAAATCTTGCATCACTGCCTGTTATTTCCTGACTTGTACTCCTTGCTAGGGTAACTTACATCAAGTGTCAGCAGGCAAAATGTACCACAAAAATGAGACCCGAAGTCATCTTGAAATTTGGTATTAGGCCTCATTTCAAACACTTACTTACACCTGTCATGCTTCCAGAGATTGTGTACTCAATTTTGCAGAGATAAGTTTCAGGTTACGTGCCTGACTATCAGTGGCTGTCAGGTAAATCCTTTGGGAGAGTGGTGGAGTATGTGGGGAGATGGAAAAGCCACAGGAGCAGATGTTGATAATGGACTGGACCAGCCTTTGGACGCCCCATGGAGATGGATGGAGTTCTCTTGCTCACATTAGTACAAGATCAAGCCTTAAAAAACTAGCTTATTCATTGTAGCAGCTCATGGACAACAACTACTAAAGTTTTTGTGCCATTTTCCATGGCTTCTTAGTATTTGTTGCACAGATGTTAAGTATATTTGAAAGAAAACAACATGCTAGACAGATAACTTATTACATGAACTCAGAATTCAGTTTCATTTTGTTGATTTCCACCCTATACTATAATGATACTTACGGCTGCTCTTTATGCACATATGTCCCTTAAATGGTCCCATCAGGGAATGCTTAGGAATCATGGCTGACTGAAGTCCTAAATGGCAGAGAAAACAACATGTAAAATGGTGACAAGCAAATTTGTTATACTTAAACTTAGCAATCCTGGTATCTCTTGGTAAAAGTTTTAAAAAACTCTCCTAAGTAAGCTTCCTAACTTATTGAAAATTTTCAATTTATCAAGCTTTTAGTTCAAAGCTGCTTTTCAAGAACAAAATGTCTTTCCATGCCAATCATACCATTTTTATCCCATTTATACCAAACAATGCTGCAACACTGTGCGACTCTCAGAAATCAATTAGAGATATATGGCTTTGTGCGTTTCACAGCTATTACTGATTTACTGTAGCAGTATAGTAACTTAACATTATGCAGTCCAAATTTTTCTACGTCACATATTCCAGCTTTCATTATATTTCTTTAACTGGGAGCACTATGTTGCTACTTCAGACATGGACTGACACAAAGAAGCTGTTTCTTAATGTTTCCTATGCTTTCGTGGATGTGCTTCCTTCCAGGACTGTTCCTACTACAAGGCTGGTCATAGAAACACCACTTTAGTAGCCATGACATTGTAATGTTCACTATAGCTCATTTATAAATAAAATTAAGTTCAATCTAATTATGACTTGATAAATAAAGGAAGGATAATAGACGGATTGTTTTTCACACTAACTTGTATTTATATAAAAACCTTTATGTGTTAAAATGTTGCAAAGTGCTTTAGAGAAGTATCAACAATCAAAATTTAACACTGAACATGTAAGATTATCGAAGCAACAGCAGGCCATTCAGCTCTTGAGCCTGCTCTACGATTCTAATCATGGTTGACCATCACTCTCAATGTCTTCTGCCTTCACCATCTCCATACCCCTTGATGTAATTAGTAGCCATCTATCAATTTCTTTCTTGAACTTACTTAATAACTGAATTTTCTTAACTTTCTGGGACACAGAGTTCCGAAAATTGACCACATAAGGGATTTTAGGACAGATGAGCAATAACTTGGTGGGTTTGAAAGAGTGCTTTGCAGCAGGAAAGAGAGGAAGAGATTTAGTAAGGAATTTGAAAGGTATGCGGATCCCCCATGGCAAGTTTAGTGGTGGTGGCATTTACTCAAGTGGCGGGATAGTGGGTAGGGTCCTACCTCTGTCCCATACAAATCCATGTTGGGAAGATCAGTAGATGGTCTTCCATCCCTGCTGCCAATTGATGCCCATAAGTAGTAGCCTCATCACACCACTCCAGATGTTATCTCAGTTTTGGGGAAGGTCCATAATGCAATATGTAAAGCAAACAAACCCTTGCATATTTAATTGCTAGTTCATGGGAAGAAGGATCCCTCATTCAAAGGCACACAGAGCCTAGTCACAAAGTAAAGAAGTTGTAGAGAGCCTGCCTTGCCACTGGTCTTATGGCTGAATCCCCTATGCACCCCATTTCCCCACAAACACCACTGTAAAGATCCCCTGCCATCACTGTTCACATCTTGACTGGGGCTTGGGCTCTGGTGCTTTATACCTGGCAGCAATACTACCTCCACAACAGTGCTACTGTTCAAAAGTCCTTATGATTGGCCAGGAACTCTCAGCAGTTGTGACCTCTGCACCCGGGAACCTGATCCCAGGGAAAGGCCCATTACTGGCCTGTCAAATTCATGATTGGCAGGTACTACCAGTGAGCCTTTTTGGAAAGAGGCAATGTGGAGACTTCACCTGTTCTCCAGGATGTTAATGGAAAGTCCCATTACTGGCACCAGATTTCACCTTTGGCAACTAAAGACAGAACTGAATTCAACAATGTGTCAAAGGTTAGAATTTGTGGTGCATACAAAGGTGGTAGGATTTGAGGAGATTATAGGTAAGGTAAAGTCACAGAGAGATTTGAAAACAAAGCCGACAATTTCAAAATTGAGGTATTGATGTAGGAGAAGCCAATGTAAGTCAAAACACACGGAGGTAATGGGACTTGGTGCAAATTAGGATCTGGACAGCAGAATTTTCAATCAGCTCAAGTCTATGGAGCATGGAAGATGTGATACAGTCAATGAGAGTGTGGAAACAGTCAAGCCATGAGCTAATAAAGGCTTGAAGATGGGAGGAAGATTATTAAGCAATTAATTGCTTTGCCACAGATGGTTATTAAGACAAATGATTTGGCATCACTTAAAGTAGAATTAAATAAGGATTTGTCAAAAATAAGGACACAAGGAACTACTGTTAGAGTAGTTTGGACAAGTTGAAATTGAAGCACTTGCACAGATGGTCTTCTCTTATACGGTAAATGTCATTAGTCTTCAATGTTATCCAATTCAGGGTGGATATTCATGTCACATTTTGAATATTAATTGTTTAGAAAGCCATAACATCACCTAATAATATATTGTGGAGCTATTTCAAAACTAAATATTGGCAGGATGGTCAGATATCAGAGGATAGATAAAGCAAGCATGAGGGGACATAAGAGCGATGGAATCAGATTCAATAGAACCTTCAAAGGGGAACTGGACATATCCTGGAATCATTTGCACGAGATAGGGAAAAAGCATGACAGTGGGATTAATTGGAAAGCATGTTCAAAGAACTGGCAAGGGCAAGATGGACTCAATAGTCTCTTTTTGTGTTCTATGATTCTATTATAACTGGCATTCATCTTCAATTCAATGTTTGTCAGCAAAGAAAGCTTGCAATACATTTTATTAAAATTGTAAGATTCTATTTTAGAATCATATTGACAGAACTGGGTTGAAACGTTCTGGTAATAATGAACATGTAAATGTGGGCGAACTTTCTTTTTCAATCAAAATATCCAGCTGTTTCAAGAGCAAATACATCATCATTACTCTGAAGTATAATTAGTTTCAACATACTTTAATCAATTTTCCTATCTATATGCATTGACGCTTTGGAATATTTTTGCTGATAATCATGGGAGGCAATCCTCAGATATTTAGTCCAATAATATGGTGAAGTTGAATGAGCATTGATAGATGCAACCAAAAAGTAGCATATTTCATTGGAAGAAAATAGTTTATTTGTATGATGCCACTGACAATCACTGTTTAAATAAACAGTGGTAGATAAAAAGTAGAGAACTGTACAGCCATTACTCACAGAACAGTAGGCTCATGAAAGCCTCAAAAATAAGTTATTAAAGGCCTTACACCTGGAGCTCAGCACAGTTTATTGAAAAACAAATGCCAGTCAAGTCACAATACTGTAATTTTATTTTACCTCATCACAATAATTGACTATACTATGTCTAAATTTGCCAACTTATATATTATAATTAACATAGTAAAAGTATTTAAAAATTGAATTAACTAGTAAAAGTTGAAATGAATTAAGAAAATTCTTTGTTGCCTTTATTTATTGACTGTCAATTATCTCTCCACATTTACTTTTCTAGGGCTTGTCAGTGAGGTCAGGATGAAATATATTCCCCAAGTGAAAAGGAGCTATTTTCCTGGAAAGGGTTCAAAAATGGCATCAACAGAGTACCCAATCAATTCAGTCATGCAAAATGAAATGGGAATATTCACTATCTCAAGAAATAATGATAATTTTTGAATGGACACTTAGCTATCTGAAAGGGGTCCCATTCATATGAACAAAATTAAAATAATTTTGAATTGCAGGGATACTGTGGTGACCTCAACTTCAGGTGATTTTCTACTGTGGTTTCAGCTTGAAATTGAATAGAAACTGTACAGAAAGGAACAGGAGGCGTCGACAGATTTACATTCTCTTTGAGACAAACATTTCCTGAGTCTTGAATAGAAGATTTGATCCATTTTAACAATGCACCAATGAACCAGTGGGAATCTGGCCTTGCACTTTGTATGTCCCAGAATTTCCTATTTATTAATTAGTGTTAAAGCTAATAGCATAAATTCAAAGAATGCTTCTCGAAAGTCAAAGTCTTGTAACTGATTTTTTTTTTCCCTGGGTTTCTGCAGCTCTTCTATCAATTTGATGGCGGACATCCAAGAGCATTCCTCCAGAAATTCATCACTGGTGTTTTATTATTTCTTGAAACAAAGGTAAGAAACTTTCTTTTTAGAGAAGTTTCATTTTGAAAAGTTAGGATTGCTGATTATAACTAATATTTCTGAAACAAGGTGATTTATGTAAATAGATTTGTTTGTTTGGTCAGATTAGATTACTTTGCCATGGGCCTGAAGCTTCCTCAACATAATTGCCTACTTTGGGGTGCTGCCTACGCAATCTGGCAAGCAAATTGAGGCAGAGAGGTTCTCTGGTGAAATCTTGTCTGAGAAGTAGTGTCCACGATTTCCATGTCAGAAGGCATTCATTAAATCTGAATGTAGGGCACGACCAAACGTCAGCTGGAACTTCTCTGATTATGTCAATTTACTTCCTTGAAAATCACTGCTACTTTTAACGAGAAAAGATAGGGCTTGGAAAAAGGAAGTTGCTTGGCCAACACAAAAATATAAATTGGAATAACTATTGCTCAGTCTGGAGGGCAGTTGGAAGTGCTGTTCTGCAGGGGCAATGCATGTTTCACAATCCTAAACATTATACACCGATAATCTGACTTTGTGTATCGGAATATAATCTCAAAAGGTTCAGCAAACAGTAAAGGGAATTCTTAAAGGCTTAATGAAGATACAAGGTAGTGGAAGGAGGAGACTGATGCAGAATATTTCCATTGTTTGAGGAGTCTGTGTTGAGGTTCATTGATTCAAAATTGTCATTGAAAGTTAAAAGAAAAAAAGTTCATATTGGAGGTTTGACTGGAGCATGGTGTCATTTGCCCAACCAAATGAGACAGTCACTTCTTCTTATGGAAAATTCGGTGTGTTAAGATATTGCACGAATGGGAAAAGAAGACGGATCAGTTTTGAATTATTTTTGAAAAAGCCTGTACAATGATCTGTCCCGTGTTTTGTGCTCTACATAAATGCAGCTTTTTTGTAGAAACGTGCAACTATCAAGAACATGGATACACTTCATGCTACATAACACATTGCCGCGTGTAACGGATAAGATACAATATGGTAAACCTATCATTCAAAATGAAGTTTATTGTTAGAAAATGTTTTTACTGGGGTTCAGGAGCTGATACTGAATAAATCCAGGCTTTTAAAATTATGAGTATCTAGAAGTTGCAGCTCCGTTATAAACTTAATTGTGAAAACAATACTTCACATCTGAACTTTATCAATTCGCAGAGAGCTTTACAAAATATCTGTGATAATTACGTACACCCGCCGTTGCATTACACTAAGCAAAATGTTGCAAATTAACTCACATTTACAAAAAAAGGTGAAGATCGTCTCTCTTACCCTTTTTAGTTGACGTTACTTTCTTACAGTAAGGGTTTTTTAAAAAAATCAAGAAACATTTCTCTGCTGCTGGCATCACGTTACGACAGGTCTGAATATGGACAGTGGACACAGCCAATCAAGTACAGGTTACTGTGGGGCGCGCTTGACATTTGACCAATCAGAAAATTCTGTGGGCGGGAATTCTGTCCAATGTCGCGTTCATCACCATGCCAACGGCGAGTTACCATTGATCGTCTGCTCACCGAGCGGAAATGTTCACATTCTGCAAGGTTGTTGTAAATCAATGTAATGAAACGTAGACAGAACCTTCCAGAACGTACTTGGTCATTTATTCTAACTGTACGAAAACACTAATAACTTAAAAAAAAACTTCAATTCAATATCCTCCGGCCTTAACTTCACCTGTGGAACCGGAGTTAGCGACAGGAACAGAGACTGGTCTCCTGTTTGGACTTGCCTCCGATGCACCATCGTGACCTTTGCAGAAGCACCGGCAGAAGGAACCTGGCTCCCAAAGAGAAATTCGATTATTTCTACATTTATGATTAAATTACAGCGGTGAAGCGGCAAAGGGTCTGAGAATGTGACATCTCAACTAAGTATTTATGAAGGAAAACTGGATTAAGGAACATGAGGTCAGGGCATGCACTTAGGAATAAAAATAGAAAAATACTCAAGCAGCAGGCCGTATCTATGGAGAGAAAAGAGTTCACTTAATGATTAGGATTAATATTCACGTGAAGGAAAACACCAACATCAATATACAACACTAAAACTGTACTGGGGCCAAAATTTCAGTCAGCGTTTATTTTCGTGATTGAATGTCTAAATGACAATTACCTGCTCTTTCCCCATGCCCCATCATCAAAGATAAATATTGATATGCTTTCTGAGGTTGCCACTAATCCTAGAAGTGATTTCCATAGCTTCATAACTTGTGAAACAGTTTCTCCTGTTCTATTATTCTATTCTCTGTTCCAAATCTCTTAAAATTATCCGATGTTCTCTCATACCGTGTGCTTCTCGCATACGACACTTCTCCTGCCTTCCAAAGACACACAACGCCAACACACTTGGATGGCCGATCGCATCATGCAATGGGACCCTATGTGAGAACCTCTCTGGCTCTGTTGAAGGTGTCTTGAAATCCATTGTACAAGGTACACCCAGCTTCTGCCATGACACTACAGACTTCTTACAGAAACTCAGCACCCACAGATCAGTCAAACCAGGAACATTCCTCGTTACAATCCACGTTTCGGCACTCTACATCAGCAACTTCACAATGACGGCATCGCTGTGACAGCCTCAGTACTCAATACCAACAACTGCCAGTTTCCAGACGCCATCCTGCAACTCATCCAATTCATCCTCGACCACAACATCTTCACTTTCGACAACCAGTTCTTCATCCAGACACATGGAACAGCTATGGGGACCAAATGTGCACCCCAATATGCCAACATTTTCATGCACAAGTTTAAGCAAGACTTTGCTGCACCGGAGCTCCAAACAACGCTACACACCAGATACATCAATGACATTTTCTTCCCTTGGTCTCATGGCAAGCAATCACTGAAACAACTGCATAGTGGTATCAACAAGCTTCATCCCACCATCAGACTTAGCATGGACTGTTCTTCAGAATCAGTCTCATTTTTGGACACATGCATCTCCATCAAGTATGGACGCTTCAGTACTTCACTCTTCTGCAAGCCCACGATACTGCACTTCTCCAGCTTCCATCCAAAACATGTTAATGAATCCATCCCCTACAGACAAGCCCTGCGAATACACAGGATCTGCTTAGATGAGGAAGAACGCGATAGACACCTAAAGATTATGAAGGATGCCAGTTCCAGTGTGCCACAGCAAGAAACCGCAATGACCTCCTCAGAAGACAGACACAGGATACAACCGATACAGTATCCTTTATCATCGAGTACTTTCCCTGGAGTGGAGAGACTATGCCATGTTCTTCGCAGGCTTTAACATTCATTGATGATGACGAGCATCTCGTCAAGATCATCCCTACACCTCCACTTGTTGCCTTCAAACAACCACCAAACCTTAAACAGACCACCATTGACAGCAAACTACCCAGCCTTCCAGACAACCATCAACCACAACACCACACAACCCTGTCATGGCAACCTCTGCAAGACATGCCAGGTCATCAACACGGATACTACTGTCACACGTGAGAACAGCACCCTCCACGTACACGGTAGGTACTCATGTTACTCGGCTAATGTTGTCTATCTCATACATTGCAGGCAAGGATGCCCCAAGGGATGAGATATTGGCAAAACCTTGAAGACGCTATGACAACGAAAGAATGGACACCGCATAACAATCGCTAGACAGGAATGTTCTCTCCCGGTTGGGGAACACTTCAGCGGTCAAGGACATTCAGCCTCCAATCTTCGGGTAAGCATCTTCCAAGGCGGCCTTCAAGATACCCAATAACACAGGATCACCAAGCAGAAACTGATAGCCAAGTTCCATACCCATGAAGACAGCCTCAGCTGTGATCTTAGGTTCATGTCGCGCTACATGTGACTGCACTGCACTGTATCTGTAAAATCTTCTTTACTGTCCTGTTTGACACCATCACCTTGACAAAATTCTTATGATCTCTCTACTTGAATTCACTTGTACAGTTTTGGATTACTTAATATTTTGGTTAGACCCTCTGCATGCAACTGTTATACCTATTATGTTATTCCAGTCATTTGATTTCTCTCCAGCACCACCTTATTTTTAATTTTTTGTAATTATCTCTCTGCTTCAATTATTCAGATTATAGGTCATTCCTTCGCTTGTTATTCAGCTGTCGACACTCCACTCATACCACTGTATAATCTTTTGATCTCTCTGCCCATTGATCCTCTCTGCCTATAAATCCTGTGTCTGTGTGCTTCTTTGTCACCTCACCTGATGAAAGGGCAATGCTCAGAAAGCTTATGTTTTCAAATCAACCTGTTGGACTATAATCTGGTGTCATCTGAATTCTGATCTTAAAATTTAAGTTTATATCTTTGGTCCCCATGCTAGACCACCTACTGAAGTGTAATGAAGATATCCAGTGGTGTGTTTATTAGATATCACCTAAATGGAAAATTAATTTTTTTTATTCATTAACAGTGTGAGGGCATCACTGGCTAGGCAGTATTTATTGCCCATCTCTAATTTCCCAGGGAGCAGTTCAGAATCAACACAATGCTGTGGATCTGAAGTTACATGTAGGCCAGACCAGTTAAGGATGGCAGTTTACTTCCCTAAAGGACATTAGTGAACCAGATGGGTTTTTCCTGACAATTGAGTCACGGTCTTTATTAGATTGTTAAATCCAGATATTTTTATTAAATTCAAATTCCATCATCTACTATTACGGGATTCAAACCCAGGTCCCCAGAATATTATATGGGTCTCTGGATTAACAGTCCAGCGATAATATCACTAGGCCATCACCTCCCCTTACTTGTCTCCATACCAAAACTAAGCTGACCACCAAAGACATACGCAATCTACGGTTTATGGACGATTGCAGTGACATTGTCCAGTCTGCGTCAGATTTGCAAGACAATCTTGGTCTTTTCAATTCTGTGTACAAGAAACTTTGCCTGTCCTTGAATGTTACTAAAATAAATGCATGTGAACCCACATCTGGTCAGCTAAATAATTCACCTCCATATCTGTTGTAGGTGAGATTCTGGAATACTTCCCATAGCTTGGTGACTACCTCTATCAATTGGCCAGCATTGACGTACAGATCCAATTCTGCATCAGCATTACCAAATCAGCCTTCTGCACACCATGACACTGAGTGTTTGGCAATAAAGACCTATGAACATCGACAACAATACTGGTGTACAGAATTGTTGTCATCGTCACACTCCTGTAATGCAGTAAAACCTGAATTGTCTATCAGTCATGCATAAGTGTACTAGAGAAATTCCATCAGCCAATACTTCCATCATATCCTGCGGATTCACTGAGATGACAATCAAGAAAATGTTAATCTTCTTCTTGAAGCCAACTCCTCAAGCATTCAGGCAGAAGTCATGCAAAATCAGTTTCTGTGGACTGTGTCTTGATGGCTACAGATCATCTCCCCGGTATATCTTTGAAAAGAATTTAGCTTACACAATGGGTTCCAAAGTGCTTAATGACCAGTGAAGTACTTTATAGAATGATGCAGTGTTGAAAAACACTGCAGCCAATTGCAGCAACTTCTCGCAAACATCAATGAGCAAATGATCAGATAATCTATTTCAGAGATGTTGGTTAATGGATAAATATTAACCAAACCACCAGTGGAACTCTTGTTTTTCAAGTAATGGAATGTTGTATTTAAGTCAATTTATGACAGCAGAAGTACCCTCAATTTAACATCTCACCTGTTGGACACCTCTTATAGTACACAATTCCCTTTTCTTTATTCATTAACGGGATGAGGGCATCGCTGGCTAGGCAGCATTTGTTGCTCATCCCTAATGGCAGTTCAGTTTCCCTTACTATCATACTGGACTATCAACCTGCATTATATTCTTAATCCACTAGAATTGGATTTGAACCTATAATCTTTTGGGTTTGAGCCAATTGTGTTTACTGAGTCAAAGTTACCTGAATAACAGGATGGCAAGAAAGCATTTGGAACTTTTAATGTGGACTGCAAAAGATAAACAGCCCCCAATTAATCTACCTTCTGTCACTACTCCATTTTCTAATCCGTTGCCACTTGAGCGAAATCTTGTTTGCTATTGTTGTATAAGGTAATGATTCTTTAAGGGTTAATGCTGTAAATTGCATTAAGCTTCACCCAATCCTGTGATGTCACATGGACTTGGATGAGGAAGGCAGCAACTCCTAGGATCTTAAGACCTATATCCACAGGTTTCATAATAATCTTTGTAACAAAGGCAAACCTACTAATGTAACATGTACTTGCTATCTTGCAATAAACTATATCTGTTTAAAGACATTTGGACAAGTAGATGGATAGGAGAATGTTTAAGAGGGATATGGGCCAAATGCAGGCAAATGGAACTAGTTCACTTCAGGAAAATTGGTTGGCTTGGACA